ATTTTGTATCACTTAAAATAATTATTTAATATCGATTATTTTTTACAACAAAATTATCTTTTAACAATGAAAAGAATTAATTCGCACCGAATTTGGAATTATTTTACTTCAATTGATAACTTTTTTGAATGTAAAATTTGCAAATAAAAATATATAAATCTTTTATTAAATACTTTAAAAAACCATTTTATTAAAAAATATAATAAAATTTGGCTTAAAATAAGAGAATCAAAAGTAATTCCCGCAAGAGGTAAAATTTATTTATTTGTTAAAAATAATTTATATAAATATTTAATATGTATAATTATTTAAAAAAATAGCAAAATGAAAAAGAAAAACTATTTAAAATTAATACTACAAATTCTATTAATAACAATACTTCCATCATTATTAATTCTTGTACTGCAAAAATCATTTTTAACCTCAATAGTTTTAAGTTTTTTATTTACTTTTTCTTCAGTTTCTTCAGTTTTTCTTTTTTTTTGTTAAAGGAATCGAAGTTTGAACAACTTCTATTTCTTCTTCTTCAGTAAAATAATCTTCATCTTGAGCTTCGTTAATTTTTTCAATTTGTTGTTGTTGGATAGACTGTTGAATAACTAAACTATTTTCAAATAGCGATGCAAAAAATTGACCAATATTTTTTTCTTTTAAATTAGTCTTTTTAACTTGGTTTCTTTTGGCTTCTTCTGTTGCAAGAATTGTTTGATATTCTTTTTGATGATGTTTAGCATAATGATTTTTTAAATTGGTTGTTTGAACATCAATATTGTAAGAAGCTTCACAAATCATACAAATAAGACATGTATTAAGTTTGTTTAATTTAAAATGATTTCAGATTTCATGTGTAGTTCTTATTTGAATATTCTTTAATATTTTTAAAAAAAATAAAATATTGTTTTAAATAAAGATTTTTAAAATAAAATATATATGAGTTATAAATTTTAAATTCAATTTAAAATTCTAAATTTGATTTACCAAAATTAATCTAATACTAAATTCGAATAT